TGAATATATCTAGGCTACTTATCATTTGGCTCCAAAATGCCTATTCAGTGAAATGATGTTATTCATGCAACAGTTCTGTTTATGAATTATGAATGCTGCATTTGTATCATTTCTTACATTTTACTTCTTTGCCTTGGTTTCTATATTTGAGATAATTGTTTGGTTAATATTGTCATATTGTCCCATATAGCAACTGTATTAGTGTAACAAGAACTTGAGTTACACAGCCAATATAATTCGACACCGTTTCGGCATCGAACAAATTCGGCACCGTTTCGACACCGTTCCGGCACTGAAACCTTTCGACACCAAAATTTGCTACCGGACTAGTCAGTCCATTTGGTGCCGAAACGGCACCGAAATTTGGCACCAAAACACGTCGAAAATCAGATTGCATTTTGGGGGTGTATAACATGTGGAATAAGCTATTATATTTCATGAGGGCAAAAATATAATATAGCATTGGAAGGCATTGTTATAACATTCATCATTACACTGAGCATTTAGGGCATCATTATAACATTAAGGCCATCATTATAACATAGAGGGCATCATTGTTACAGCGAGGGCATTATGGCCACCACTAAAACACCAAAGGCATCATTCTTAAATCAATCAAAATAACACCAAGAGTATTCTGTATATTGCAAGATCAAAGATGATATGAGAGCCAGGGACGGATTCTAGAGACTTCAAGACAGAATTTGAGTAATGACACTTATTGGGTTGTCAATTGTAATTACAGCTTACAAAACATTATCAGCACTTCAACATGCTTGTATAGCAATAATGGCACGGATATTTCTTAACTTAGCGGAAATAAGATAAATGCTAGAATACAACTATCATCTTGTAAGTTATAGTGATTCTGCATTTTACATTGATTCACCTCTCCATTGGCATTGACTTACAAGTTCAATACAGGATATAAACATTAGAATTGCCAGTTTGTTAGATTGTCCAGCTATTATCTCTCATAAACTGACACAGGATGGTATTAATTCTCATTGGATGACCGAATTACCATTTAACACTAGAGTGTTGGTGTTAGATATAGATTTTTCTCTCCCTCTTGTGTTTGATATAGGTCTGATATCCAGTTGGGAATTCATGTGAATGATTTATAATGGTGTATGCTACATTGAGGGTCATTTTCAATTATTTTTGATTTGACCATCCCCCTTTTGTACTTTTATATATTTTTAGATGTGCAGGCAGATCCCTATTTGCATAAACTGCTTCAACTAGTCTACATATTTGTGATGTATCTTTATCACACCATCGATGGGATATAGTCGTCATAGTCATCATGATCGTGGTCGTGATCGTCCCGCTTTTTTGTCATCGCCATTTCAGGAAAACCACTCATCAGACTTTCTCCAAATTTGCACACATGATAAAGGATATAAAGTTCTAGAGCTGATTAACATTTGGGTGGCCATCTTGTTTTCTGGCAGCCATTTTGAAGGGTTTTGGAAAATCTTGTCATCGCCATTTCAGGAAAACTGTTCATGTATGGTACAACTTTGTCTACATCCGGGTTCGTCTACATTTTCAACAGTGACATCGATGGAGTACCACCATAGCATATTTAGCAGTTGAATTAAGAAGAACAAGTTTGGATAACTCTCAGTCCCAAAAGCAGACCCTTGATGCTCTTTGGTATTTTCATATTCCCACGCTACATATATGGACAAGTTTTGATTGGAATTAATGGATAGATTGAATTGGACTTCATATTTACCTCCCTGTTAACATAACTGGAGATGTCAGTCTCAGTCAGAATGTTCCTAAAATGTTTTTTTGTGAGGCACATATCTCTCCATGTTTTACGATGGTTCATTGAAGGCTTGAATATTTTTTCTGAACATTTACAACTTCTTTTGATCTATGACAGGGAAAAAAAGTATATTTCCAAAGCAATTGATACAACTATCAATGATATGTGCAGGGAGTCATCAATTTGCCTGATCTTGTTGGCAATAAGGAGAAATGTCACTGTGGCCATTTAGAATACAATTTTGTATGTAATTGTGTGGGGAGGAATTGAATCAGCAAGGAATTAAATAAACAGACTTGTAGTGAACATGCAAAATCTTATAGAAATGACAAAAATAAAGACATTTCTTTCAAGTTTTTCAAAGAAAATGTGTGCAAAAAGTATGCCTGGGAGACATTAAAATGCAGCAATTTGTAATATAATCAAGTTTGTGGAATTAAGCATTCTGGATGCATCCCATCAACTGCTACCATTGAATAAAGACATTTGAAGATCAAAGAAGTATACGCTAAACAAAACTACAAGATATGATGTGGGATGATACCACTATGTGGCAATGAATTAGACACTGTAACCATATATAAGGACAGAAAACTTTTTGTGATCGTGAATAAGGGAGAGTATCACAGATTGAAAAATATATTAAACACAAGAAAAAAACTCATATTAGGGGTTAATGTCAATTTACAAAGAAATAGACATTAGGAAATCTTTTGCTTTGTGCAAAATGGAATATTAGACTATCGATAAAATACAGACTATCCCAGAATTATGGGTCAGAGGTTTGGGAGTGAGGTACCTGGACCCTGCTCACCCTGTAGGCAGAACATTTTATGTAGAAGGCATAAGGATATAGGTAGATGACATTAGAGAGATTTCGCACATACGTAAAGTACAACTTATAACATATACTTATACTTATAAGAAGACGTACAAGGTGTTTCATAATGTGGGTATTTCGTCAGGAAAGATCTTCTCGGACTGTAATAAATAAAGGTCAAAGGGATGCCATTTGTACTTTCTTGAATTGTAGCATGTTTAGTTGATCCAAATGTGTTTGTCTAGAATAAAATAGGCTCATATTTAGTACATACATATAGACCCATCTCTTCTCAAATTGACTTTTTGGAGATGCTCGTTATGAAACACCCTGTATGTCATTTGTTGAGCTACTGAATGGGTCGTTTCCAGGAATTGCTAGAACCTACTGGTTTGATTGGTGTTTCAAATTGATGGTTAAAGTATTTGATTGGATACTGTTCCTACTCAGCCGATTAATTTAGAAAATGCTTGCGGTCAATTGTTCCACACACATGTAGGTAAAGCTTTATACGTAGATCCAACTGTATACGTTTATCGTCTACGTGTATATACAATTTTGTAAGTTCATTGAACTTATACTGATCATGAAAACTTTGAAATAATCAACTTGTTTATGTAATGACTCACTTGAAAGGATCATGACTCACTTTAAAGGATCGTGTTTAGAATACACTACAACTACTAGGATACTGAAGCAAGCATTTAATTATAATGTGCATAATCTACACGTGCAGATGACAGTGCATTCATAGTCTCTGGTTGATGGAGCTTTTCTGTATCGGGAATAGTTATGTTTCATTAAGTACAATTTAAAATTGATTCTAGTAAATATAATAGTTCGACATGACCCTTTAAACTATACGTATACGTATAAGTTGTACTTTGTGCGAAATCTCTCTATTATATTGTAAAAACATTTCTGACTTTATCATAATCAGATTGATATGACCTTTTTGTCAATATGCAATGAAAGGCGGACATGAACCACATTTTAGAGGTAGTCTCCTAGCAAAGTTCATAAAATAAAAATGCTTGTGAAGGTTTGCTTTGGGGCGAACTATTTGATGAATTCTTTTCTGAAATGTTTTGTTTGAAAATCTAGAATCAGTTTTTAGGCATGTAGGGATATGTTTGAGTTAGCCATTTTAAGATTTATTTTCTGAAATCAGATCTGCAACGTGTTGTTACACATGTCTGGACATGATATACTATGTTATCATTCTTCTTCTCAATGACTCATTCATGTTTACTTATTGATGGTACTGGATATTAACAGGTATTTTTGTGTTGCAATGGTAACTATAGAAACAGTTACGTTCAAAAGGTGATAATGTTGATAATCACTATATATATTATGTTATATTATATCTTTTATTATATATTATTACTGAGTGAAGTTAACATTTTTATGTACCACCATCAGATGTTATTGGACTGAAATATTATGAATAGTGGTAAGATTTCAATTTTTATTAAGAAGCTTAATATGTATATCCCAAATCAATTCATATGCAGATTAATTTAGTCCCATTCTATTTAAATCATTTTCAAAGTAGCTGTACCCTGATGTTAAAAGCATCATTACACATTTTTGTTATAGGAAGTCTTATATCTAAGATAGAGGCTTTTAATGGGATTTTAGGAGATTTGCATTTAGTTCATCATTTATGATTAATAATAATAGTTTTCTTTCTTTTTCTTTTTAATGACACATTTGAATTATATGCAATTCCACTAGAACTAAATGTACTTTGATTTATATTTATATTTATTTATATTTATTTATTGATTTCTCAATTCACCCCTTATAGGGTATAAGAGTACAAAAGACAAACTTAACTACTACAGTAACAAACATTAAGATAACATTTATAGATGTACACTTTTTGCCCAGCCTCGATTAAAAATTGACAAAGTCTTATTAGTATATTCATCCTGTTCCATTGAATGGTATTATTAAATTAGGTCAATAATTACTTTAATCCTCAATTTTTTAATATAAAACATATTCATTTTAAGAATCATAATAATAGTAAGGTTGTTTGTCATTTTGGGGTTATTTGTGTCAAGTCCATGATTGAAGATATATCCTATCTGGTATGATGAAAAGAAACTTGCTTTTAAAATTTGGATTTTAATACATTAATCTTTATTCATCAGAAACATCAAACAAAGCAATGAAATAATTTTGATTAGTTTTTGAAATGTTCTGTTATACTGTCTAACATTAAAGTTTTGATAGCTTTCTCTTTAATATTGATAGATTTCTCTTTCATAGAATATAAAACGACTGGATTCTAATTTTGAGTTGACTAATGTTTGATCTTTATCACTGCGTTTCTTGTTTTTATTATGTTATTATAATCTGTATTTCAAAGGAATTTTGTCTGTGTTCCAGATTTACCAGAGTCAGAAGCTGCTGAACTGCAGAATAAACTTGAGGTCCTCAACAACATCATGGATCAAGAGGTAGGTAACGTATTTGGGGTATCTCATTATTAGAAATGAATAAATCAGATGCTAGTAGGTAGTTACTCTTTCGGGTCAGATAGCATGGCGGGTATGGTAGAAAGTTCCCTTTAACTAAATATTCATTAATTTTAGTGGTTCAATTTTCATATCACCCTTATGTCTAATAGTTATGCAAATTGTGTCCAGTGAAAAGTAAATATTATCTGTCCAATACAAGAAAAGATATTCAGCTATTTGTGGTGATTTTATAACATGGGGTCTATGGGGAATCTCCCCGAACTAGAAGTCACATTTTCCCAAAAGATTAAATTTTCAAAGTTAATAAACAATTTTCAAAACCATATTTCTAGATGATCTTTTACTTGTAGATTTCAAATATGATATCACTTTGACTTAATTCTGAATATTTAATGACGTAAATCAAGATTATTTCTACTCGCATCTAGTCTATTGGATTTGTGGTTTCCTGTCCTGGCTTAGTAAGCTTCAAAAGATGGATGATTCTAGTGTGATCAGAATATAAGTGAATAGGAAATAGTAAAGAATCCATTGGTCAGTATCAAGCAAAGGTTACGGCCATAACCTTCACATTAAAGATGGGGGAGGGTAATTGTCCATTTCAATATTTTTAATTTTCATCGATTTAAGCTACTTTTTGTTGATGTAGTGCTTTATATAAGTGGCATACCTCACGAAACGTAAGATTGAATCTCTGCACTGGCTACAAACACCCATGGCCACTTCTTTCCAATGTCAAGGATCAAGGGATATTTTTCAAGGGATATTTTTCACATCAGTTATATTAAAAACAGTTTAGAGCAAGGGCCCATTCGGGTAGCACTTGATTAGGCATTTTGCTTGTTTATGCATTTTTAAGTTATATAGTTTCTAGTTTCATCCATCCATTTGTTCGTTTGGTTATTCATTCATTCGTTTCAGGCGATAACTTAGATATTGGTTGATAGATTGGGTTCAAATTTTACTGGCTGCGGAATTTTCAATATGACGACCATTGTTCTTGAAAAAATAGTCGTCAATAAATCAAAGATGTGTATAGATGTAGTTTAAATTTCATTTGCTGATACCTGAGGGACAGAGGAGGTCTTTAAATTAAAAAATGTCAAGATGGCTACACAATTCAAAATCGCCACCATTTTGTAAAAATTGTTTTATTTGATAGTCAAATAACTTTGAATGGATTAAGCCTGATTTAGTTCAAATACCAAAGCATTATGATAACTATAAACTAGTTTAATAACGCAGATGCGAGTAGGTAGTTACCAGATTCACCACCAGGTGGCTCGTTCGGGTCAGATAGCATGGTGGGTATAGTAGAAAGTTCCCTTTAACTTAAATTACATCTATTTGTGTGGTTCAATTTTCATATAACCCTTATGTATCTAATAGTTATGCAAATTAAAATATGTCCAGTAAAAGAAAATGTTATCTGTCCAATACAAGAAAAGATAATTCACTTTTTGTGACTTTGTAACATGGGGTCTATGAGGAATCAACCCGAACAAGAAGTCACATTTTCAAAAAAAAAAAATTTTCATGATATCGAAACCATATTTCTAGATGTACTTCTAGATGTAACAGATGCAGCTTTCAAATATGACATATGACATCACTTTGACTGAATTTTGAATATTTAATGACATAAATCAAGATTATTTCTACTCGCATCTAGTCTATTTGATAAAAACAAAAAATATGAAAATCACCATTTATCATCTGCCATGTTAAATGCGAAGGTAACAGCCATACATTACCTTCACTTGGAACTGACCAATGTTGTATGTGAAGTCTTGTTTACAGGTTTCAAGGCAAACCATTTAACGGATTGTTTAAGGATGTTTCTTGGTTTAGAAATATATAACTGATAAGCTTTGGGGCATTTTGGGTAAATTTAAATAGGCAATTTTGGACTTTTGTCCAGAAAACTAGCAACTTTTTTGTTTGGTATAATCTTTAGTACCTGTTCTTACTCATAATCTTCAGTGGACCATCTCAAGTATCTGTATTTAAATACAGTCTTCAATATATAAATTATGTTACAATCTTACAATATCTGAGTTTGGTTATAGCCTCTTATACCTGGATTTGCTTCTTTATATTATCTTTAGCTTCTGTTCCATATATCCTGACACAAGATACAATATTTACCTCTCTATATGATACAACATCCTTGTTCACATGTATAAGATCTGCATCATACTCAGGAAATGTTGATCTATTATATCTGGCATGTAGTGGCAGCACATCTATTGATCCACAAATGTTAAGTTGATGAACATGATTAAACCATTATTGCCCTTTTGTTATATTGCAATGTTATGACATTTGATTTGGATGTTATTTCATTTGGTACAATAATATACAAAGTCGGTATGCTGAGGAGTTAAATGGGGATGCCTATAAGTAAAGTTGGTATGCTGAGGAGTTAAATGGGGATGCTTATAAGTAAAGTTGGTATACTGATGGGTTAAATGGGGATGCTTATAAGTAAAGTTGGTAATGGGGATGCTTATAAGTAAAGTTGGTATGCTGACGTGTTAAATGGGGATGCCTATAAGTAAAGTTGGTATGCTGATGAGTTAAATAGGGATGCTTATAAGTAAAGTTGGTATGCTGACGTGTTAAATGGGGATGCTTATTATAAGTAAAGTTGGTATGCTGATGAGTTAAATGGGGATGCTTATAAGTAAAGTTGGTATGCTGATGAGTTAAATGGGGATGCTTATGAGTAAAGTTGGTATGCTGATGAGTTAAATGGGGATGCTTATAAGTAAAGTTGGTATGCTGATGAGTTAAATGGGGATGCTTATAAGATGGTATGCTGATGAGTTAAATGGGGATGCTTATGAGTAAAGTTGGTATGCTGATGAGTTAAATGGGGATGCTTATAAGTAAAGTTGGTATGCTGACGAGTAAAATGGGGATGTTTATAAGTAAAGTTGGTATGCTGATGAGTTAAATGGGGATGCTTATGAGTAAAGTTGGTATGCTGATCAGTTAAATGGGGATGCTTATAAGTAAAGTTGGTATGCTGATGAGTTAAATAGGGATGCTTATAAGTAAAGTTGGTATGCTGATGAGTTAAATGGGGATGCTTATAAGATGGTATGCTGATGAGTTAAATGGGGATGCTTATGAGTAAAGTTGGTATGCTGATGAGTTAAATGGGGATGCTTATGAGTAAAGTTGGTATGCTGATATGTTAAATTACCCAGAAGCGAGTAGCTAGATATCCTTTTCACCACCAGGTAGCTAATTTGGGGTAGATTCATCAGCTTTAGTGGTTCAATTTCCATATTACATTTGTGTATCTGATAGTTAAACAAATCAAAATATTTCCAGTAAAAGAAAATATTATCTGTCTAATATAAGAAAAGATATTTCACTTTCTGTGATTTTATAACATTGGGTCTTTGGGGAATCTCCCCGACCTAGAAATCACATTTTCTAAGAAAATTAAATTTTTAAAGATAAATACTTTTTAAAACCATATTTCTTGTTGTAATTTTACATGTAGATTTCAAATAATTTGATTTAACTTTGACTGAATTTTGAATTCTTAATGACGTAAATCAAGATTTCTTCTCGCATCTTGTCTATTGGTATGATGATAATTTAGGTTGGTATGCTGATAAGTTGGTATGCTTATAAATTAAATTGGCATGGTTAGAAGTTAAATTGGTATGGTTATGAGTTTAGTTTGTATGCTGACAAGTTAAATTGGTTCAGAAATACATCAATATACTATGATATAGAGCAAACTGTATTTATTGTTTGTCAGTGCTATTATATTTCACTGACTAAGCAAATATATTATACTTGGAGCTGTCTTCACATAAAATTTCTATCAAATTATTAATAGACAAAATGAAATTACAAACTTTAAAATGGTCTTTCATTAGGAAATGCTGTACATATAACAGTCCTCAAAAATATTTGCTGAAAATTAAGAAAATCCCCAAAATATAGTCCTCCACCTAATAAGACATTACCATTCATCTCCATGTCTAGTTTCCTCTGCTGACAAGGCAGATTTTTGAACCATTTACTTCTAATGTGGTTGGGAATATTTAGTTATAAGAATACTTCAATATATAAACTGCAAAGGGCATTTATTGATTGTAAAAGTTTAATTTTAGTGCTCTATAAGTATTGCCAACCTCCCCTTTGTTTTCCTATTGTTACATGAAATTAAAGGGCCTTATTCTCTCTTACTTAGCATTCACCACTTAATAAGCACCATTCTTGGCAGAAAATGATATATGACATACATGATATTCCCTGAGATTTCTGACTTCTTTCATATATAGGAGCTTATGAAAATGGTTTTAAGGAGGTGTTTTTGAATTTTGAAACTTTCCAAGGTGCAAAATAAAGCGAACACTGTAGGCAACCTCTTGATCCAAATGTATTATAATTGACTTTGCCATGTGTTTGAATTTGTGTCGCTATGAGTTTGTATGTATAGTATGTACATATAATTGATGCTATAAATGATGGAGGATACAATTGATATAGTATTATGTAGAAACTGAAAGTTTTATTGAGCAATGTCATATTGACATAAATATAGAAATGTGAGATCATTTAAAACATGAGACTTAGCTTGTATTCGCGAGTGCAAATAGCGGCTATCATCTATCGGGTAGATTAAATGGCTCATTTAGATATGAATAGTACCTGTTCTGCATCCCGTTAGTTGCCAGCTCTCGCCCTCAAAAGCAAAAGCTGACCTAAATAAGGGTTTAATCTGGTATTAAAGCAGTAACTTTACCAACTATTGAGGTGTTCAGAATTATTAAATAGCGGAAGTTTAAGTTTGTTCGATCATGTGACAATAGTATAAAATTTACATGATCACTGTTGGTTGTTCGTAAACTACAAGTTCAAACTGACAGGTTAATTTATGCAAATTAATAGTTAATCCAGTAGCAGGTAGCCGTTAGTCGCATTCACGAATACAAGCTTAGACTGTGTTTTTGAACTGCCTGCGGTGCAAGTATATTGCATAATAGTTAATAAGTTTTCCCCCTAGGTATCATGAAAAAGAACAATGAGCCCATGCGTTGCAAATTACATGCTCACAAGTTTTCAACAAAAGCAGTTCATCCAAGCGCACTTACACCGCTAGTCTTGCTTGAAGACTGTGGAACCCCCTTATCTCCTTCTCCAACACATGATGAAAAGAAGATAGGGGGTTCAGGGTCTTGAAGCAAGACTATTAAACCGCTAATTACACTGGCGTAGGCTGCTCCTGTATGTCAACCGCGTCTGCTCGTTGCTAGTGTAACGCAGGAGTTCCACTGCAATAAACTGTGGTCGTTATCAATTAATTCAGAATTATGTGAATGGATAGGCCCATAGCCACGGGGGGGGCAAAAATTCTTTCAAAATCATGCAGTTTTTTACCATTATGAGCACTTTTTGGACCAAAATTGTCAAAAGCGAACTTCCCCCTGGAATTTTCCAAAAAGTGAACCCCCCTTCGCAAATCCTGGCTATGGGCCTGGTGTATGTGTGTTTGGATAAACTATTTTTGTTGAAAATACATGGGCATGTAGTTTGCATGAGGTGGCTTAGTGATACCTGGGGAGAAATCTCATTAAAATATTACGCAATTCACAAGCACTGCTGGCATACAAAAATACAGTCTATATATATTCTACAGGGTTATTCAAAATAAAAATCAAGGCAGTTGACAATATGAGGATCACATCTGATGACAAAGTGAATTTAAGTCTTGTTAACACATTCATAGTTAAGCATGACCACATTGAAAGCCCTCAGATGAAATCATATTTCTAGTACCCTGATAAAGTCATGCACATACATTCTCTGACATGCATGCTACTTGAATGGTAGCAATATAAACATGTGATGGAATTGTGAAGACACTTCCCCTGGGAACAGACAACAGATACCTGATTAGCATGCAACAAAATCTTCTCTATGAAAATGTTTCTGTTTTTGTTTTGAAAATAAGAAACATGTTTCAATCCTTTGTCAACTATATTTAACATTTGTAGTTCTTAAGGACCTTCTGGATGTGAAATTTGATTCAAGATTTATTGGGTCCTTTGGTCTGGTGCAATTGATTGGTTATAGTGCCAGTATGCATAAATAATAGACCAAGAATATCGCAAAAGAGGTGTCACAGTTACAGGCTATGTAGATTCACAGTATTGTTTTCTTGTTTGCTGATTGGTTGAATGTGGTCATGTGATATTTATTAGGATATATGGGAGTGTTCCTTTTCTTATAATTATACCTATAGTAGAGTATAGTATAAGAAACAATTGCCATTGAAAAATGAGTTGGGAGCCATGTAATTACAATATTGGATGTAAAAATTAGGAGAACAGACATAACCAGCAAAGTTCAAGGGAATTTTGAAGGTTATGGTATTAATTATCAATGCTGTGATCAATAGGATTACAGTGATGTTAAAGTCTCCATCAAAGTATCTGTAATTTTCACATGGATAAAATGGTTGTGTGAATCAGTCTGTAACTAGGATATTACACGACTTTACAGAATAGCATTTATTGATATGAAGGCCAATAAATAGGCAGAGTTATACAATGCAAGAAAAATATTGTAGCAGAAAGGCAGAATTATCAGGTAAATGCTATTGGTAATAGTATAGCTTGATAGATTACCATAGATTTCTAGTTATAATGTTGGATAAATGTCATTTTAACCTTTTATGTTCTCAGAAGAATTTCTTACAGACATAACCAATTCAAGAGGTTAATTTGAAAGCAAAACACCAAATATGCTGTTTCTTGATTTTCTTTGGATGGTATGCTCACGTTCATCAATGTTAAATATACATATATCTAGAATTAGGTTATAATAGAAGTGAACTGAATGATTACTTCATTGTAATTTTAAAGCCATTAGAATAAATGTAAGATACATGCAGAAACAAAAATAAGAAAATGACTATAGTAGACTAGAACCAGTAAAATAATGAGCACATCTATTTTAATGAGCTGGCAAATCATGTCTAACAGTTGTAAGGTAACTAGGGTCCTTCATTGCTATTGAGATTTACCCGGAAAGATAAGGTGTTGAAACATGTTTTTGGGTCAAAAATGTGTTAAGAAAAATAATTAAATTTCGTGATTTTTACATAATTGCCTTGCAGATCAGATCAGATATTGCAACTGCACAATGTTGATATTGGAATATCATCTTCACGTTATTAATCATATATGTGTATAATTGAGTAATATAATGCAGAGAGACAATGGATATCTGCTTTGGTGAATCACACAAATCTTTAGTTTTATATAAATGAGTGATATGGTTCTCTTACATGCACATTGGAATATAAGTAGTTGAACTAGTTTGACCACAATCACTACAATCGAACAAGAAGAACTCATTATCACATTTATATATGATTACATCTTAGTTATTGAAGTTATGACATACACACATAAACCTTACTTTGTACATGTTTGCATTCGAGCAAGTTTGTAAAACTGTTTGTTACAAGATATCTCTATATTTGTAGGGAGTAGCAGGAGGAGACTCTCTTTCTCGAAAGGTGACAGTATATTCACTTTAGACCCAAGCTTAGGGCTCTTGATATCCTCTATTTGAGCAGGCTTTGGGTTCAAGGGTTTTGCATACATGCTATAGTTAGATCTGCTGTGAGCTTTGTCAAGCTCATTTTTATGTCACCACCAAAAAGTGGTGACATATTATTATGGTCTCCGTTTTTTGTGGTGGCGATTGGCGATCAGCAGTTGAAGTCTGTAACAAATTGTTACAACTTCAAATAACTTAACGAACACTGTTTAGACTGACTATTTTTTCAAAATCATCTACAAGTTATCAAAAGTCCAAATTTGACCTTCAATAACCTTCTCAAGGTCAAAAAGGTCTTTTTCAACCTGCTTCAAATTGACCAATTTTTTTTCAAAATCATCTACAAGTTCTCAAAAAAAATCATCTACGAGTTATCAAAAGTCCAAATTTGACTTTAGATTTGAGATTTAACCTTCTCAAGGTCAAAAAATGTCAAAAAGGTCTTTTTCAACTTGCTTCAAATTGACAATTTTCTTTTTCAAAATCAACTACAAATTCTCAGAAGTTCAAATCTGACTTTAGATTTGAGATTTCACCTTCAATGACCTTCTCAGGGTCAATCAAAAAAGATATTTTTTAACTTGCTTCAAATTTCACCAATTTTTCAAAATCATCTAGAAGATCTCAGAAATTCAAATTCTAACTTAAGATTGAACTAATAATATTGTGAGCCAAGTAGGTGGTGACATTTTGTAATGTTAATGCCTTTTTTATATATGTTTCATCAGAAATTTGGCTAAAGTTCTTGCAAAATTTCAAAAAGACTGCCACTTTGTTTAGTTTAGTTTATAGCTTAGTCTATAGATTGACAATAATATCAAGGTGTTTTAACATCACTGGTATTTTTGTTGTCAAAAATATACAGGGTGTGAGCCCAAAAAAGTAACCCAAAGAAATAGGTTTTAAGTCATATTTGGTACATGTTAACCTTTTTCAATGTTCTTTCTTTCTAACAAATTTCATTGGTCTATTCCAAATGATTATGATTTTGTGGCCATTTTAAAAAACATGCTCAATGTGCCAAAACATGTCAAAATCACCTAATATGAAGCCCCATCTTTGGGGCTATTTCAAAGATTTTGTAATATACTAACGACCCTAGAAGCATCAAAGAGTTGAAACAAAGAAAATGCAGGCTATTACACAAGATATCTGTGAGCATGTAGTCAGAACATGGGCTTTCTCTTGAAAGTCCATGGTCAGAACAACTTTACCTGTTGCACTCAAATTTACCTCCAGAGATGAGACTGCCATATTGATTATGTTTTGTAAAATGGCCATAAAATCGTGATCATTTAGAGTAGACCAATGAAACTTAGTAGAATGAAAAAACATAGAACAGGGTTCAATTGTTCCAAATATGATTATAAACCCATGCTGGATGACTGAGTGATTAACATTTATTAGTGTTACCTTTTTTGGCTCACCCTGTATCTTAAACATTCATTTTTATGTCAAGATGTGCTTAGAAATTGAAAGTACTACCTGTTTTATTTTTTCTAATACATACATGTTTTTCATAAAGCTACTTAGATCTGCTCTAGCTGTGAGCTTCAACAATTTTATCTCCAGTTTTATATTTTTAAAGGAGACATTGGATTCATGGTTGCACCATCCTAAACATGCATATGTTTGTTTTAGCTCCGTAATGGCAAATTCATGGTTGAGTTCGAGGGTTTATAGTAACATATTCACGAGAGGTGTCACGGTTTCCCGATATTGGACCGAATTTCGATCCAGATGCTTCAGTTCGGGACACGGGACAGAAAGAGTTAATATCGGTTCGGTATAGGTACATAAATTCCTTCCATAAAATGCATAAAAACGTGTATAAATAGCGGGGAACACCTCCGATTTCGTTCTGAAAAATTAAATATTTTCACTTACCTTGTACCTAGATTACACTTCTTTGCATTGAAAAGTGTTATTAACGGACCCGCAATTTCAGGTAGATGGTAATGCTTGTTAGTAAATTTCTTCATCATTGTTCGCAAATCGAGTGCATTATCAATATGCCGGATGTAGGAAAGAAATTGAAAAATCGAGCCGGCATCTAAGTCGAAAAAGTCGGCAGTTTGGAAGTATTTTGGAACTTCGATATCACAAACGAATTGGTGATAGTACACCGTGCAGACTATGTGAAATGCTGATCACATTCGCGGCAGATATGTTATATTAGATTTTGATTGACGTTTTTTATTTCTGAATATGATTTTGAAAAGTGAAATTGAAAGTGAAACTGGCATCATCAGACCTTGCATCATTTTTTAATGTTCTGTCCCGTCCTGAATGTACCGTAACCATTTGTACCGTTCCGTACTGTACCGAAATTCTTTTGGACCGTGACACTTCTAATATTCACACACATTATAAGCTTACTTCATGTCCATATTGATTCTTGAATCAAGCTCTAATGCCCTCCCCATATTTTCTCAAATACTGATTGAGAAACTAGAAAATTGGGAGGGGAGGGGGCAACACATAGATAGAGGTTGTTTACAGGACAATGATATTTGATTCATGAGCAGCATCTTATACAACTCATTCATCACCCCATTCACCCCAATCACAGGGATGATCAGGTCATGTTGGCCAAGTATTTAGTCAGAAAAGTAGCAGCGGATTTGTATTTTAGAATTGGTATACCAAATACTAAAACATAAATGATTTTACCCTCACCCCAATTGAAATTAGATATATTTGAGGGCATACATGGATATATTGATCTGGTCCCTCATATCCATGGGCATCAGAAACAGGGGTGCATTGGGTGTGAATGCACCCTCCCCCCCTCTGAAACTGCCCAAAAATATTTTTTGATAAGATTCCTCAGTGAAACTTCAAAAAATGCTATTTTATCTCAGAAAACAACTATTTATGGTTCAGATTGCACCAAATAACATCTTCAGTGACAAAAAATTTCATGGGGACCATGTCCCAGACCCCCCCCCCCCCCAGGTACGCAGCCTCCTTCTAAGCCATCACTTGCCTAGCCATCTATATTTTCTGGAAAACGCACCACCCTTTTCAAATATGATGCAGACTTCTCTATTGGCCTAGTCTCTATGGTTTTTGGGTTTTAGATATCACGGTTTTATAGATATCATGCCTTTTTAATAGATCTCGCACCTTAGTTGTACATCCGTTAAGAAAAAACCAAAAATACCAGGTTTCAATTCACCATAAGATTCACCTGTACATTTAGCGATTTATTTGTAAACTTTTTCGGGAAAAAATAACTATTACAGTTTAGTTGAATTTTTGTAACAGAAATCGGCTACTCCCCCTCTAATTCCGAAGTTCAAGATGTAAATATTCTACTCCACTGAAGTTTAAAACTGGCTGCCGGTATGTACATCCTTTAACAATGAATGATAAAATAATCAGTTCACGTTTTAAACTTTTTCGTAATCCTAGTTATCAAGTATTTTCGTTCGAAAATAGGGAGGTGTAATTCAAGGGGGGAGCACCCCCCCCCCCCTAAACCAACGTTTTAAAAAAAATTACAAAGTGATTTTATGTGAAGGATATTGTGCTCTGAAAATGCTCAGAATGCACCGAATGATGTTCAATTTTTGATATTTTCTGTGGGGAGAACCCCGAGATCCCCCTACACTGGCCCTCGTTCGCTGCACTCACTCTTCTTGGTTCGCTTCCCTCGCAGCCATTACCAAAAGCCCCCCCACCCAAACACAAAATCTATATTAATCTGATAAATCATATAAACACCAATTTGATTTTATCTGAAAATGCTCAGAATGCACCAAATGACGTCTTCGAAAAAATTTTCCTGGGGAGGATGATTCTTTTATATCCTTCATATAAAAACTGTTTATAAGATAAGAAATAGCCTAATAATATGTCAAATCGGATTACAAGACTTAACAAGTTGATAATATAAACATCAGATTGCATTCCTAGAAACAACAATGTACATGTCAAGACAACCGAATATTATTGTTGTATTTGTTCCTTAAGTTGTCTTGTGTGTCTGCAATCAAATTAATTTAACCAGCTTCAATAAAGATGATGGATTGATGTTTTAATAATTATCTTACTTGGGATTAGCCTTAATAAATGTTATGAGTTCACAGTTTACATGTACAGGGTGACACAAAAATGTGACACTGCAATTTTGGAATAACTTTAACAGTATTGAAGGAATCTACAGGGTGTTCAAAGAAAACGCAACCCAAAGAAATCGCTATATCTTGGAAAATACTTATCCAATTGCACTCATTTTTTCAGGAAAGAAAGAAGAGACTGTGCATGTAGAGCTCCTGTAATTATTTAGTTGTAAAACACGAAGCCTTGGACGCCTGCTCAAAAGACATTAGAATGAGAAAGATACGAAAAATGCAGTCAAAGGTGACTGTCACAGCAATAAAACTGAATAACTTTCTAACCATAGTGTTCTGGCACTTCAGATTTGGCACAAATTATCCTCATTCAATGTGTGGTGAATTTGTGGAGTTTCATCAAAATCACTCCAGGGACTTTACAGTAATGGTCAAAATAACTTCTTATGTCTGCCTGAACCAGGACGTTTGACTGCGTTTTGAACGCATTTCGAACATAACTGTGAAGTCCCTGGAGTGATTTTGATTTCACTCTACAGATTTACCATACTTTGAATGAAGATGATTTGTGCCAAATTTGAAGAGCTAAAACACTATGATTATAAAGTTATTCAGTTTTATTGCTCTGGCAGTCACCCCTGACTGCGTTTTTCGTATCTTTCCAATACTAATGTCTTTTGAGCAGGTGTCTAAGGCATCAAGTTTTATAACTTACCAACTACAGGAGCTATACATACACAGTCTCTTCTTTCTTTCCTGAAAAAATGAACATAATTGAATTAGTATTTTCCAAGATATAGCGATTTCTTTGGGTTGCGTTTTTTTTTTAACACCCTGTATTTGACTTTGGTTGTTAAGAGTGGTCAATGTGGGAAGCAGTGACTATCCCAATGAATGCATTTTGGGGGTTATTTAGAGAATAGCTCCATTCATCCATACATATGTCCCATCTACCTAAATATCATTGGCCCAATATCATTTATATGTTTTATACCTACATGCCCAATGTGAGTACAAGTTCTACTTGAAAGCTGATTTTGAAAATGGCCACCAGTTTTAAAATAGCTATCATTTTAGTGTCAATTTTATAGTATTTTAGGTACAACATAAAAAACTAATATATGATGCTTTAATTACTAAAATTTGTGTAGTATATAAACAAACATTGCAGCCATCTTGAAAAATGGTGACTGTTTTTATGATTTTTGCTTTAATTTGGGAACTAGTAGAGCGATTTTGTTATGTCAACACCAAAAAGTAGTGACATATTGTTATGGTCTCTGTTTTGTGACAGCAGTTGGCTATCAGCGGTTGGGGTCTGTATCAAATGGTGGTGACATTTTGCATGTTAATGCCTTGTTCATATTTGATCTGTAAATAAATGTACATTTTTTAACGAACTTTTAGAAATATTCTAATCTATCTTTTGTATCCTTCACCATGTGAATCAAAGTTATAAATGTTTTTTTATATGGGTTTCATTTTTGGTGTCACCATGTACTTTTTTGCACAAACATTCCATCTAAATATTAAGCACTAAATGTTCAACATGTCACGTCTGAAAACATCATTTATGAATTTAATTTTAATGATGTTGTACTTATAAATGAACAATGAACACTAATGAATTATATTCTTAAAGCGTGTGATTCATGCTAGTAAAATGATATCCAACTTCCCACATATGTGAAATAACTATATGTTGGTCTAAATGAGAATACTGTGTATTGAACCAAATCATTTGTTTTTCTTGCAGATGATGACCATCAAGGAGCAGCATAGGAGGCCAACATATTCACAATGTAAGTAGAGTATTTTGACTTAAATGAAGTTCCTGTGTCTTCCTCCTAGTGTAGTGAGATGTATGGACAGGGTCTGGATGAAAGACTACTGAAAAGTTTACAATCTTTTTCAAGTTCCTGTATGTTTGTATTGAAATGCCAAATTGATAGAACTAGTATTCTAATCAATTTCTTCATTTGATATTTTGAAATACCAAATAAAGTGATAATAGCAAAATTCTGTCTCTTAATTAGCCTGTATTCAGAAGTTGTCTTTGATAAACATCTAGCCTTTTATTACCAAATTTTGCCATATTGAAGCTTATTTAGCCACTCTGTCAATAGGAAGCACTTATACTACTGATTATATGTTTTGTGTTGACTATATACTGTATTGTCTCCAATAAATGCACTGTGCATTTACCAAATTCTTTTCAAGAAGATGTCTCAAATGACAAAATCCCCGGGGATTTGTGAAAAAAAAATTGGGCGATAATAGGGTGTTTTATGATTTTCCTCTTTAAAACTGGACTCACTCCAACTAGATAACATAATATCATACCTCGATGTTTTCCTCATGCATTTATCGATCTGTTGAATATGTTTCTGTGGGTTCCCACTGAAAAGAAATAGAAAACAACAACTTGTAGGTCTAATTATTTGAAGTCCATACAAAAATAGCGACCATCGGATAAATATGATATCCTATGATTTTCTCAGCTATCATTTTTATCCACTCTTGGATATCGCCGATCTTCACTCATTCGCTGCGCTCACTCGTGGAAATGAGCGATATCCACTCATGGATAAAAATGGTATCCCTCAAAAATCATAGGATATCCTTTATACTTCATATTAGCAGATATATGATATTCCCTCAATCGCATAGGAGTACATATTCTACATATTAGATTTTTTTGCATTTAGATGCGGAATATCACTTTTATCATTAGTGATAAAATTTTGAAAAATAAATATTATTGCTAATGTAAAGTATTTGATTGGATACTGTTCCCACTCAGCCAATTAATTTTAAAAAATGCTTGCGGTCAATTGTTCCACACACATGTAGGCAAATCTTTATACGGAGATCCAACTGTATACGTTATCATCTACGTAAACATACCGTTTTGTAAGTTCATTGAACTTATACTGATCATGAAAACATTGAAATAATCAACTTGTTTATGTAATGACTCACTTTAAAGAATCATGACTCCCTTTAAAGGATCGTGTTTATAATACACTACAACTACAAGGACACGAAAGCAAGCATTTAATTATAATGTGCATAATCTACACGTGCAGATGACAGTGCATTCATAGTCTCTAGTTGATGGAGCTTTTCTATAACGGGAATAGTTATGTTCCATTAAGTACAATTTAAAATTGATTTTAGTAAATATAATAGTTCGACATGACTCTTTAAACTATACGTATACGTATAAGTTGTACTTTCACTTATGTGCGAAATCTCTCTATTATCAACTAATGTCTACTGATATTATCCACCATTGGCCGAAACAAAGGACTAAATGAATTATCATTAGTAGACTAAAAATCGTCAATCACCAGGAGGGATTTGATATGCAATGGGGAATATCACAAGGATGATATCAATATCATCCAAGGGAATAACCCCACGGGTAACCTTATACCATGGTCAAAATCAAAAATGACCAATAAGAAGAGGTATCAAAATTTACTTCTCAAATGCTGCATTGTGGGTAATTATTCAGGAACACATTCCAGTAAAAATATACTTTGTGAGAGAATTCACACTTTCATTACTTCTATAATTATGATGAAATCTATTTTGCATAATATTATCAAAATGTACGCATATGATCTTGTTTTTTTATTTTTGAATTATTTCTTTGATTATGAAAAGTACAAAATAAGATTTTTCTTGGAATGTGAACAAGAAGCATTCTTTCTACAATTTTGAAACACAATTCTCCCATTCAGTGTTTTTCCTTATATGGACAAAATATTAGGGGAACAAATTCCTACTTCCTTGTTTTTCCCTCGTTGGTTTAGCATGTGGATTTACATACCTATTTTTCAATCGCTATGTTCTATCAAATCTCCGTCCAAAATAGACAAAAATAGTATCATAAACAATTGGTCTTTTCATATCCTTTTCATAGCAGACATTTTTATCATTATCATTGTATTTGCTCACATCGTTGTGAAAACAACGTGTGAAGAGAGGGAATATTTCCCAATAGAGAAGGTCATGTGATCAGTTGACTAGTCGCCATATTGGAAAAAATAACTTTGTTCGACTTTCCACCTTTTCCCAACCTTTCATTCCATCCTAACCGCATTACAAACTGCAATATCAATGCAACAATTGAATAAAAGTACTCATCTTCAAATTACATTATAGAGTTTCTTTGAAAATCAACAAACTTTGACTGAAGAAGATGTGTCGCTATTATCTAGGTCAGTTGGTGCAGTGTCCGAAAGCAAATCTAGAGGACTCGTTTCCGAATATTTTTGATCATTATCCTGGCCGTTATAGTAATGAAAAAGGACAAAACAGCTGAGGGTGTCACTGTTTTATTTAGCGTCCAGGTTTAAAAACAAAATTGCGTAATCAGTTTTGTTCTCTACTTTCAGGTCACGCAAATAGCTACGCAAAATGCATCATGAGAAAATATCGACCAATCAAATTTTGTTCTTTTTGGGGGGCTTTATAAGTACATATTTCGTACCTTCTCGATTCATGAGCGAACCGCGAAATGGAGAATTAGGCAATGTTCATGTTCCAGTACTGACATTAAAATAACTATGTACACCATAACTCTCAAATCATCAACTTACATTGCATGTTTTATATAAAAATGTAAAATGTACAAGAATATAAAAACCACTTAGCCGCCATTGAGGATTTTTGTACAAAGAAAGTGTCTAGTTTCCACATGTTTCTTCTTATCTCCAAAGGATTTAGTAGCAGATGAACTAGTCTGCCCATTCATGCCATAACATGCAATATATAGTGCAAGAATGTATGCGTAATAGTATATATTGATTCCACCTCAGGACGCATCTCAGTTACAATTGTACCCTTTGATCCTACTTTCTATGAATTATTGATCTTTACTAGCATAATTTTCTACAGCCAAGATCAACATGAAATAATATTGTAAATATCAGAAATTCTATGTTGAATCCAAGATTTCCCATGGTTTTTTAACTATTATCATGTTCATCAGTTAGTCCTTTTGAACTTATCTGAGGTATAACTCTATGAGAAAAGTAAAATGTCTTGGATTGTAGGTGTTCTAGATTGTGGATTCATTTTTCTAGACATGTATATGTCTTGGGTTTAAAAAGGTTCTTACCAAGGTTTTTATCATGCCACAGTATTTCAATGATAAGTCTATTGGAACTGAAATATACATTTTACAGCATATAAACAAGATGTCCGTCCATCCGTCCGTCTGGGCAATAACTCAAATACCGTTGGCCCGATTTTGTTCATATTTTGTATATATATCCTATGGGGGTAGAAGTTCTGCTCGAAAGGCGATTTTCAAAATGACTGCTCATTTAAAAATGGCAGCCATTTTAGTGTCGATTTTACAGTAATTTAGGTGCAGTATGTAAAACTGTAATAGCAATATGTTTTAAATGTAAAAAAATTATATAGGACATTAATAAAGCTAGAAATGTACATATTAAAGAAGCACATGGCAGCCATCTTGAAAAATGGCGGCCTTTACTCGATTTTTGCTGTAACTCGAAAAGTAGTGGAGCGATTTTGTTCATATTTAGTATGTGAATACTATAAGCATGGCACACTGTCTAATGATGACACTTTCGGTAGAAAAAGGCCATTTTGAAAAATGGCTGCCATTTTTGCTATATACTTTGTTTGTAAAAATACCAGCCATGGCTGTTCCATAGGATTTGCTATGCTTTGGCGTTGCTGTTGTCTAGTTGAGTAATGAGGTTGACTTCTCAGCCTCTATTTACCTAATACATAAGAATTAGCATAATGTAGGCTGGATAAGATGATATCTCATTCATCAGAATCCTCAATCTATGACAAATTAATAGGGTTTTGGTCAGAAATATCAGCCTGATATTCCAAGGTATGAACACATCATACCTTGGAAAGTGTTCTGAATAGAGGTTTATCAAATATTTCTGGCTGGTCCCAGTATTTACTGTAGTTCCATGAATTAACGTGACAGTGTAGTAATAGACAGTGTAGTTAATATACTATTTATAAGTCCTTCCTATACTTCAGAAAAAGGTTTTCAGGTCATTATATTATCTCATGAGTGAGTCAATTGGTTTATTCCTACATGCAGACCACCATGCATCAGTAGGGAATATATAATTGATAGGAAACCCAATTATTGTATTGGCTGAGGCATGTCAGCTATACTTGCTGTTAAAAGTCAATTTATTGGGCTGAGGCATGTCATCTAGACAAGGAAGTTGACTATGTTCAATGAGCCTCAGATTCACTGACCTTCATCATTCTATTATTCTTTATGGAAATGTTTTCTGATTTATTTTCATATTAGAGTTGTAACAAAGACCTTGATTTTTTATTTCATTCCCCCATTGCCAAAGACCTCAACTGCTTCATGATTTTGGTATTTTAACAATGATCAAAAATTGTTGTCCTAAAGTCCAATCATATCATCTCTGAGTCAATCTTTATCTCTAGGTAGGGACATCTAATTCATTCTAAGTTCTATGTTATAGGTATGATGTTTTATATGATGTTCTATGTTACAGATGTAATATTCTATGTTACATGTATCATGTTCTATGCTACACCTATAATATCCTATGTTACAGCTGGTATGTCAGAGGACAGTGATTATACAAGTGACATCAATTACCCTACCAACCATCAACACAACAGCTCTGCACATCAGTTCCGTAGTGAACACCCGTATGCTAGGAACATTACTCGTGAGGAGAGTGGGGATTCAAGAGATTTTAATTACGATCCAATGGATCGAGAATATGATCGAGAACATGGTTACTATGACAACCAGGAAAGTCCATATCATCAACCACGGAGTGATACAGACTCAGAACCCTTGTATTACAATAGTAGACCCCCACAGAACTATGCAAATGACAGGTTGGTTGTTATATTTGTATCCCTGGATTTATGTGAAAGTTTTTTCCCTTTATGAGCTTTGACCTTCTATGGATTTGTTTCTATTATTTTGTATGCTGCAAATAATAAATTTACTTGATCTATTGGTCAAAACAGACAGAGAAAAACACTTCTGGATCAAGATAATGCAGATAATTGGTTTCCCAAAGGTGGTGTAATTAGACAGAAGTTAATCTCCAAGGCTTTTGTATTTGCCTTATTTGTTCAGATTGATGTTCCATTTTCATTTGTTCTACTTTATATATTTAGTGAACACATGTGTTCTCTTTTCATTTTCACAATTCAATTTCTTGCTAATTCCATCTTATATTTTCCATTTTTGAAATAGATTATTTTCTTTATTGCTTTGGTGTACTAATAATTTCTTTGTGTACTTGTATCATGAATAATGGATCATTTCAAATTGGTGGATTCATGCATTTCATTGTTTATGTTGCTTCCACCCATTAACATGCTTTCTTCACTAGACTTTGTGATCATCCCATAATTAACATGCATGGGACAGTCTTGAACCAAGTTATCCCCTCGCTGGAGATGTAGATAATGGGGACTATGGACTTCATGCAGATCAAAGTTGTATTAGCACTTTCAAAAATCATTTATTTAGACTAATTTTTTTGTCATTATTGTGGCATTCTTGGTAAATGTTAAGCCAAACATTTTGATCTATTGATCTGAAATCATTAGGGATATAATCTTGGTATTAAAGTATAGAAATGATTAGTTTTTGGCCATGGGCAGTCAAGGCAGCCATTTTTGATTTTCCATCCTAAAATCTTGCTGGTTAATTTTTGTTTTCAAGTTTCTAGTCAAACTATTTGATGGATTGATCTTAAATTTTAAGTGATGTTTCTTGATATGGAAGTTTAGAACTTATTAGTTTTTTGCATTCTGTGAAAGCAGCCCTTTTGAAATTTTAATCCCAAAAACTGTTTTCTGTTATAAACTATTTTCCAAAATATAGGATTAATTTATCCTTTCATGGAGATATTGGGAATTCCAAAAGAGGATATGGGGTCTTGACCAAATGATCCCTTTTCTATAAACTACATTTATGAAACGACACCTGCTTTATATACTGTTGGATATGATTTCCCAAAGGTGTGTTAACCTAAAATCACATATTCATCACTGGTCATAGAACAACAAAATAGCTAAACTTATGGATTTAAGATTATGTAATTTATAGGTACCATCAAACATTAGACTTTAGGGAAATTCACAATGTTTTTGCATGTAAGTTACAGTTGGACCAATTGTAGTTAATTGATTTCCATTTTTACCAAACATTTTATACATCTAGCTGGGTTAAATATATGTGCATATTATTTTAGGATTTACAAAGCTTATAACAACAAAATATCCCACCACCTTATCTACTTCACCTTTTCAAGAGGGTTTGAAGCAGGACTATGGAGACCTGAATTTGTTTACCGACTTTCAACATTTCCAATTTCAGTCCCAGTGACTACAGCACTGCACCCCCTCCCCAGAAGCAACCCCAAGAATTCAGGTATGTGTATGACTAAAGGTGTTAATCCAAATACAAGCTAGGGCCAGTAATGGTGGCAGGAATTTAAAGCTTCTGTGGGAAAAATGTGAATCAGTTGTATCCATCAATTAGAATTAAAATATCCCTTTTTTGTTGACCTTTCTTTTTCAAAAGTTTCTTTCTTCATTTTCATTGCCAACATTTTTCATCTTTTCAGTCTCATCACTTTTTCACTTTTCGCAAAAGTTTAAAATGATTCATAAAAGGGCAGTCGATTCATGGAGCATCAGACCATATTTGGCAATTGTATTCTAAAGAAGTAGACCACTGAGTATTTTTCTGCCTAATTTGTTCACTCTAATCACTCTTTTTAAGATCTAAAAGCACTGTATAATGATACAGTAGAGGTGCTCTTGGATGGATTCGGGCTAATTTGTATATAACCTTGAGTTTGATGAAGTTGAAACTGATATTATATGTATTTGTTGCTAATGTAATTAATTGTTTGGCTCATAAATGAAAATGTTTCAGATGAACACACCAGTGGATTATGATAATATTTTTTAAAAGTCTTCAAATGATGCTGGGTAATTCCTCCTTTGCTTTTGAGACTGAGCAATCAACTAATTCATATTTAGCATATTTAGTGGCATTATGGTAATATTTTACATCTGTTATGGGGCCTACTCTGAATCAATCATTATAATATTTTCAGATGAAAATTTCCCAAATATTGAACCTTGTTTGAACATCTGTATTAAAGTCAACAAAGAAATTCCTTAAACAACTGGCCCTAGATTGTTTTCTATTTCTGCTCACTTTAACAATTCTAACACTTAATTGACATCTAGGATGATATTACTCAATAATTAAGTTAATGTGGTTTGGGTTCATAAATATATGTTATGTTATACCATCTGTTAATCTCTTTGTGTAACTACATCAGGTTCTACTCTTTGTGTACTTAAACACAATCATGGTGGAAGTTAATTTTAATTTCTTATATGTTGTTCATGGGTGCCATCATCCAGACCCGATCATACCATGAGTTTGTTCATGGTATCATAGATAATGCAAGTGTCTATAAATATATAAGACTGAGGTGCCTTGCTCATGATGCCACCAAAAATTTGCTGTATGTTGTAGTATTGATACCTGTGTAGTTGTTCTTAACTGAAAGACAAAGCTGGTGGCAGAATCTTCATTCATAATTTTGGTGAACATTTATTTTAAATTTTGTTTTTGTAGTCCTGTTTATAATCAACCAGACAACAGACATGGGACCCATTATCATGACGACTATCGTTATAACGATTACTATGGAGAAGATGATCCTGATATTTATGATCGCCATAGTGATGATTATCCTCCTACCGACAGACTAAGGTGCTACTCTAAGCATGCTATAGTTGTTTCGCTGTGCATTTGTGACCCTTGAATGTACCATGTGGTATTGCATTGACCCTTTTATTTTTGACTTTTAAGGAGTATGCTACTGTCCTTGTGTGGCAAGTTGATTTGAAAATGCTCACATCCTTCTTATATGTACTGTCTTTATTCAATCTAATTTTACTTAAAATAGCCATGTTTGAAATACAAAATAAAGTCGAAAAGAAATGAATATTCAATGAGTAAAGTCAACAGGTGTGTTGTCAACAATTGAATAGAAATGTTATAGAATCGGACACTTCATTCAAATATTACAGAGCAATAGAGTGGAACCACAGACATTGTATTCAAATATTACAGAGCAATAGAGTGGAACCACAGACATTGTATTCAAATATTACAGAGCAATAGAGTGGAACCACAGACATTGTTTTAGGTCATTGTGGTAGAAGTTGTTCTCGAACAGGTAGAGCTATATTAGCATGCTTTCTCTTTTCATTTGCATGTCTCAAATCTTTTGATTTGTGCTGATAGTTGTCACCTGTGTATGCCTTTAAACTTTCTGCCTAAATGTTTCTATGAATGTTCATCTCTCTGGTAGTAATGTACAAAGTTGTTGATTTTCTTTCTCAGAGATATTTATTTTTCTTTTTGACGTTTCTACGTTTTTCTTTTTGGGCATCCTACGAAACGTCAAAAAGAAAAAGAAATATCTCTGAGAAAGAAAATCAACAACTTTGTGCCTAAATGTTGTTTCTGACAGTTTGCCAAATTTATTTCTATGGTCTATCGCTTGAATATTGATTTAATCGTTTGTCTGATGCTATTGTTTAAAGTGCAGCAATTTTTATTTAATACCTTTGATGTTTTTATCTGTTTTCATGATACATGTATGTACATGCATGTATAAAGTGATATAGATGTCCATATAATATTGTCTTTGAATGAACTTAATAAATTTCTTAGGCAAGTCATCAAAAGTGTGGTTTCTTAAAGCATTGAACATTCATTTACCTTTATGCACATGTTTTTGAGAGAAAAAGATATTACATTATATTGTACAAATGTTTATCTAGCATTTTGGATTGTAAGATCTAATAAAATATATATGATTTTTATAAATTAGCTCTGAATTGGAACAGGGTACAAAATCTTTTTTTAAATAATTTTCCTTTATAGATTGCTTTCCCTGAGAATTTTGGCCAAAGAATTTAATAGCGAAAAAAGGATTTTGAAGACCAGAACATAAAATATTTGAAAAATCATGAATAGGTCTCTTTTTGAGAAAGGATATGATTGATGAGTGGATAAAATGTTTTTTCAAGGTTTTTTAATGGGGAAGAGAAAATTTCCATAAATGTTAAGAAAGTATTGGTGAACTAAATTCAACATTCAACACAACACATCCTTTATATAATGGTCATCGATGACCATTGACAACAATTAAAGTAAAAATTATTTATTATTATTTATTATATTTTATATAATTGTTTTAGTAAACAATTTTTGTTTTTTAGTAGTATAACAAAATAAACACAAATACCCCCTAAATAGATAAAATTAAAGTATACCTTTTATTTCATTAACAAGATAGTTCTTTGAGTGAACTATTTGTGTAATTACAAAATTGAGAGACCTAAAAACATTGTGTATATGTCAGTTTGTTCCAACGTGGTTCTGAAAGATGTTTCATTTTTTTCCAAACATATGGTACTCAGAACAAAATAATTGTCGAATGAGTTTTCTTGAAACAATATATAAAAAAGTAGTTGTGTATTTTTCAAATAAAATGTTACCATTCAAAAGATGACCATTAAATAGACAATATATATTTTTTCAGAATTTTTTTATGGCTGACTTAAGACAAATTTGTGTTCAATTTAGTTAACCACATAGCTACCAATTCTCGAAACTATCACAAAAAATTATGAGAACTTGATGATTTTTCAATAATTTTGGGTTAAAGGGTCAAATCCTGTACTCCCTCTAGCCTATAACTCCCTTTGCCCACCTGAAAATAATGTTCTGTATTTATTATTTTAAGCTCTAGTCAGAGTCAGCAGACCTCACAGGACTACTACACTCCAGCTAACTATTTCTCCGCACAGGAAATAAGGTGCAGCGCCATCTTTACTTTAATGCACACATTTATCTCAAATTAAACATTAATTGTCAAAGTTTGTACATTGCAGTACAGAAATTCTGATTTAAGAACATTAATATATCAGATCAATTGCAAAGATGTTTATCAGATTTTGGTTAAATGTAAGGCTTGGTTTTAATGCTTTTTCTTCTATGGCAGCCCGGAACCAAGCGATCCAGATTATTCCCGTAGAGGTTCAGTGCCATCTATCCTTGGAGTAGAGGATGCTTTCGAGACACACATGAATCCCATTGATCTCAACCCAGACTACTCGCCCACTCAACTCAGGTGCTGCCACCTTACATTGTTTCCTATCCATGCTGCATACTATGCATAGGCATCAATATGTTCCCTTGATATTTTGTCATTAATTTGAGGCAAGGACAAAAGAGGTTGGGATATCATATATTCTCTTATCAATTTTTGATGGTTTTGAAAGGTGCAAAATAGACGATTGAAAATAAAAAGTCATTACATGTATTTTCTTTATCCTTTGACCAATCGTAAAATGGCAAACTTTACAGTGATATTAGTTTTTTCTTATCCTTTAAAATGTTATTCTAATTTAATTTTGAAACTTTCAGCTTGCCTATATGGTAATACCACCACCTCTATTGTCATAATTAAGCATCCATTTGTGATTTCAGTTTTTGTAGTTTTGTGACACATGTTTCATTTACCATTACAATCCAGTATCCCTCCCATAGGACATGCATGACTGTATTAACAAAATTAATGCATTATCATATTTTAGAAACCATTCTTTACTAAAATCACAAATTGGATCACAATTTAGTATAAATAATGTTATTATTTTTTGATTATTTACAACTCTATTTCAGCTTCTTTATTTTTATAATACATGTCATAGTTCTTTTAGGTTCAGTTAGATGCCACTTTCTTTACAGTATTGTGATGTCATCAGTTAGCATCATTTTGGCACAGTGGAGGGGGTCATTGAAATAAGAATAAAGGAATAACGTGGGCAAAGTTTGATATGAGGCAGGTTTACCTCTAAGTATGGTGGTGAAGTCAATTGTTAGAATGACATCTCTTTTAGCCTAATTTTGCCTCACTTTTTAGATCCTGGCTATAGGGCCGGCTATGTCAGGGCTGGCTATGTCAGGGGCATTTCCTTTTAGAAATATAACATGATACACTGTGCCTAATGATACAGAATATGCAAGTTAGAATAAATACATCATTTTACATATTTAGTTGTGAACGGTTCAGAATATCAATAGATGGCAGCTATGAGCTCCTGTCATTCCTAAAATCATGATTTTTGAATTCATAAATTTCACTCATAATCTTCGAGAACCTGCAGCATTACAATTTATTGTATTATTGCAGAAAAACTGCTGTGTATATTATTTTGAGATTTGGGTACATTTTTCAAAAAACAAAATTCTGTTAAGGTAGCTATTAAGATATGTTCAAAGAACTAAGTTCCTTATTTGCATGATTGGCGTTGTCTATTAGTATAGGATCATTGAATCATTTTCGAACATTGCTCCTCTCATTGCATTAGCGTTTCCTGCAAATTCATGTGGACTTATATCTGTCAAGTGTACAATAGTATTATAAGGGGAGGCATCAAAAGTTCGATGTCGGATACAAAACTAAATAAATCTACTATGAATTTTCATCTCTCTGGTAGTAATGTACAAAGTTGTTGATTTTCTTTCTCAGAGATATTTATTTTATAGTAACGGTTGCTATTTGTCTCATTGTTATGTAATAATTAATTATTTCAGTTTGATTCAAATATAATTTTATTTCTGAAGAAGTAGGATGGACATCCTACGAAACGTCAAAAAGAAAAATAAATATCTCTGAGAAAGAAAATCAACAACTTTGTAAATAAATCTAGTTAGGGGGAGGGGGTTCAAACCCATTTCAGTTTGCTATCCGACAAATTTCAACATTTCAAACTTTTGGCAATTTCGACTCAGAATGCCTTGGAATGGTTTAAAAATAAAGATTTTACCTGATGCTTTCTTCGTCAAGATCATTCCAATGGATTCTATTCTATCAATAGTTGTTAAAAGTTGCAAATTATGATAGGAATTAACAAAAACTAGATCGTATTTAGCAATAACTTTTCAAATTCTCAAACCGGAAGTCAGCGATCAACTTTCATGGTATGTAGTTTTTGGGTGGAGGGGGGGGGTTTCAGAGTCAAAACTAGATTTATTTCGTTTCCGATCCGACATCGAACTTTTGGTGCCTCCCCTCAGTCTATATTATTTCATTATACATTATTTGGTGAAATAATTAATGTATATTTTTTTCATAAAAATTTATAACTGAAATGCCTGAGTTAAGATAATTATTTTTCAGTATTCCAAGGTTTAATGTTTTTTTTTCATTTTTAGTCATTGTTATTTAATTATTTTGATTTTTTATTTTAGTCCGGAAGAAGATCATTACATGCGTAGGTCTTATGGGGAGTATGAACGTCGCGGATCTTTTGACAGCTATGGAGATCGTCAAGATTCACTTGAATTTGACACTAGATACCCTCGTGAGAGCAAACACACTGAGTCCTTTGAATATAATGACTACAGAGACCAAGAGCGCTACAGGGAACCAGACGAATACCCAGATTCTGATTCCACCAATAGGGGTCCCTATAGGGATAGATCACCACGAGAACCAGAATATCGTGACACAAGGGTCGATCAGGTCAGAATGGATCGCAGTGGGAGGCAGTCACCACGTGAGGAATATAGTCGAGAAGAATACAAAGATTACGTTGATAATAGTTACAGGAGTCAACAAAGGTGCTTGTCATTTAGTTACACATGAGCATGTACATTTTATTGTGTGGCATCTTTGTGTGTAGACTAGGATACAGCAGTAGATATAGCCGTAGCTTTGTTGTACTTGAACACTATGCTGCATTGCATGCAATACCTTCACTGCCTCAAGAATTATTATTTCTTTGCAGTTCAATGTGATTTAAAGATATGATTTTATTATTATGTTTTTGCAGTTTCTCCATCTATTGCTTTTGGTGGCTATTCAGTATGGCTTTATAATTAAGCCCTTTTGTTTCAGTTTAGGACTGTTGATTTAGTTTTGGTAGTTTTGTTTCAGTTGTTTGTTTGGTCTATTTATTTTTAGATGAACAGTTATCTGTGTATCATTTGTAGAGTATGACTTCATTGGATTTAATATTATTTAACTGAAATGTTGCAATAATTTTGAGTTACTATTCTGCTTTGTAGCACGCTGCTGCTTCCATGCACATGCACAGACAATGATGAGAATGTTGTGAAGCAATAAGTCCATACCACACATTCCATGGATTAATATTTCATGAGTTAGTGGTTTATCAAATATTCTTCCTTGTATTCTTCTATAATATGAATTAAACAGTATCCCTTGGGCTGGGTTAGTTGAAATGTATTTTGATCCTATATTTAAGGTTGTCATAAATACAGCATTATATGAAAAAGACCCGCACAAACAATTCTTGTATTAGCATCCCAACCTGTAGTCATGGTTCTGTATTTACAATACATAGGTATACTCCATTACACAGGTTTATTTGAAACCCCTCATGTATGTAATGAGAATTCTTTCATATACTATAGCTTGCTCTAAAGCCTTAATAAGCAAGTAACAAAGTATTTGTAATTATAATAACAAGTTTGTGAACAAATGTTTGAGCTTCAATTATCCTATGTTAGCTTCATAAGAAAACCTTGCATGCTTGTAAGATAATGGGTTAGCACTAGATGACATTTGCATATACATGTACATGCAGGCCTGTAGCCAGATTTTTAAAAAGTATTCTAGGGTGGGTTTACTTTTGACAATTTTGACACTTGGTCAAAAGTGCTCAGAATGGTGAAAAATTGCATGATTTTGAAAGAATATTTGACCAGGGGAGGGTGCATCAAGCCCATCACCCCCCCCCCCCCCCCCCTGGCTACAGCACTGTACATGTAATATAGTGATGTCATATAAACATTGCATGCTTGTAAGATGATGGGTTAGCAATAGATGACATTTGCAATTGCATATAGTATAATGATGTCATATAAACATTGTATGCATATAGACAGGTGACATCATATTCTGCAGCATAATTTGCAATTTTACCATTTAATGTTTGTTATTTAATATCAACAAAATAATAATAATGAAATATAAGCATAATGAGTTACTTAAAATAACTAAACAACAATGTGCATGTATTTTTTAATATTGCATTGCAATTCATTTATGAGTTTTGTGAATAACATTTTGTGAAATTCTAAAATAACATAGTGAATTAACATATAAATTAACAATACCATATTCCATTTTTAAAAACCATAAAATATTGTTTTCTTTTATCAACCTTTCTCAGTAACTAAATGATAGAAGTGTATTTATTTTAGTCACTCTTCTGAGTTATTAAGTAGTTCCAGTCGCCATGACTCAGGACACAAAAGATCTGGCCGAAGACGTTCAAATAAACAAAAAGAGAATGTTGTTCCTCAGAGCGATACATCATCAACAATTGCAAGTACTGCAACTAAGCAGCGTAAGAAGAAGGGATTTTATGGGATTGGTAGTTTAGATGAAGAGGACTGGAGAATAGTAAATGATCTTCCCATTGAGACTGCCAGCATCAGTACAATATCAGGAACCAATAGTATCCGTGGCAGCAAGAATGAACTCTTTAGTGATGGTAGAGCTAGTAAAAAGGATGCAAAAAACTCAACAAAAGGTCGAAGGCGACGCCAATTACCACGTGTCCCAGCAGTTAGGAACTCTTCATTTGAAGAGGAAAGCATACCTCCCAAAAGTAGCGGGGATAGTATTGCAAGTTCGAGGGACCGTGGACTTGAGTCAAATGTTGACTCCCCAATGACTCCATTGCGTGACAGCAAAGATCCATTTTATCTAATGAAGAAAAAACGTGATCCCTATATGTCAGATTCCCCTTCTACACCAAATAATGATAGCATGTTTCCACTCGCTAGATCAAAGAAAAAACGGGGTGTAGGGTCATATTTGACCAACCCTATAGATGATTTAAGATCTGAGACTGACAGAGAGTTAGACAATGGTTCCTCATATGGCGCACGTAGTGAGGATCGTTTGAGTCAGCCAAGTACACGTGAGGATTATATTCCAACTCCAACTATGGATCGCAATGCCATCTATCCTTCAGATAATACTCCATTCTCGAGGTCTTCACTTATAGAGGGTTCCAATATGCAAGATGAATACAGTCATAACAAATCACATTATAGGCAGGATTCACTCCAAGACCATGATCTCTATGACGATTATATAAACCCTAATAGAGATTATGACCAAAATATATATGACAAAGATGAATATTCAAGTAGAAACAGTAAGGATTTATATGATCCCAATATGGATGATTACAGTGATAAAAATTACAATAGTAACCAAAATCGTGATCGTTACAAGGAGCCTTTGGATTATCAAGACTCCATGGAAAGTGAACAAACCCAAGGGAGCAGATCTGATAAACAGTACCCAGGGGATTCAACTAATAGCCAAAGGTTAAATTATTTCTTATTGATGCCTAGCTGAGTTGGAACATGGGATGTTTTCAGGGATATCTCATTATGGTTCAGTTCAACTAGGCATGATGTTGTATTTATTAAATGTTTAACATCACATGAAGGCTCATTTTTGCATCAACTCATCTCTATTTATTTACTGATGTTTCAAAACATGATGGCTGTCAGGCCTGTAGCCAGGATTTGCCAAGAGGGGTTCACTTTTTCAAAATTTCCAGGGAGATTCACTTTGGACAACTTTGGCCAAAATCACTTGAAAAGTGCTCAGAATGGTGAAAATCTGCATGATTTTGAAAAAAATTTGCCTTGAAACCCCCCAACCTCACCCCCAGGCTATGGGCCTGGCTCTTTAAATACCACTGAGAATTCCTTTGTTAATGCCAAGGAGGCGCATGTAAAACATAGAACTTTGGAGTTGTGTGCCATTAAAAATATCATGTTGCTAAAAATACTAAATAAATGAGGAAAGTTGTTGCTGAAATGATGCCACATATATAATAGGATGTTCATAATGTATGTCACACTGATTAGCCATTATTGAAAGACCAATTCAAATCTATTGATTTTAAATGAGAAACACATACATGTATTGCACCTTGTTTTATGATGGCTAATGTGTTACATATAGTATCCATGTTTAGGGTAGTCAGTATTTAGTTGTGTTTTTTAATTGTGTTGTCTCATTTCTTTCAGATTCAAAATGTATGTGAAAGTTGCCCTGTTAGGTTGCTCTGATAGGTTAGTTGTGTGGCGCCATCTTTCTTCCTCTAGATTGTGACAAGAAATGTCTTTGCTGGATAGCACCAATAGTTGTGCTCTCTTGGTTGTGCAAATGATTGTGCAGTCTAGGTTGTGCAAATGATTATGCAGTCTTGGTTGTGCAAATGATTGTGCAGTCTAGGTTGTGCATATGATTGTGCAGTCTAGGTTGTGCAAATGATTATGCAGTCTTGGTTGTGCAAATGATTATGCAGTCTAGGTTGTGCAAATGATTATGCAGTCTTGGTTGTGCAAATGATTGTGCAGTCTAGGTTGTGCAAATGATTATGCAGTCTTGGTTGTGCAAATGATTGTGCAGTCTAGGTTGTGCAAATGATTATGCAGTCTAGGTTGTGCAAATGATTGTGCAGTCTAAGTTGTGCAAATGATTGTGCAGTCTAGGTTGTGCAGATGATTGTGCAGTCTAGGTTGTGCAAATGATTATGCAGTCTTGGTTGTGCAAATGATTGTGCAGTCTAGGTTGTGCAAATGATTATGCAGTCTAGGTTGTGCAAATGATTGTGCAGTCTAAGTTGTGCAAATGATTGTGTAGTCTAGGTTGTGCAAATGATTGTGCAGTCTAGGTTGTGTAAATGATTATGCAGTCTAGGTTGTGCAAATGATTGTGTAGTCTAGGTTGTGCAAATGATTGTGCAGTCTAGGTTGTGTAAATGATTATACAGCCAAGGTTGTGCAAATAATTGTGCAGTCTAGGTTGTGTAAATGATTATACAGCCAAGGTTGTGCAAATGATTGCACAATGTAGGTTGTGCAAATGATTGTACAATCTCCATGTAGTTTTTTATGTTCGTATTATCTAGATTGTACTCATTATTGTTTTTTAGGTTTGGGACATTGTTTTCTAGATTGTGCCAGAAGGACAGTGTTTTCTAAATTGTTCTGGAGATTGTCCCAAGATTTTTCTTAGGAATTTTGTTTTGCTGACTGGGAAAAATTTTGCTATAATTTAAAAAAAGTTCAGGGAATTAAATCAAATACTAAGCATTGACTTATTATTTGTATTTGTAAAGCTTGACCAGAAAACATTTTAATGTTCCCACATGTCTTAGTTTCACTTTTTTAATTACATGTATACTTACATAATAGAAACTGGCAATGAGAATTTCTAACAACATCTGAATACCTGAACATTATAAGACCCTCAATGGAATTCTATGCTGAATATTCACCAAACAAGTTTTAAAAAATATTTGATTGATAGATGTTTTTATCTTATCATAGATGTCATTGCATGTTGTTACATTCATTTATTGTAGATTTCTTGACTTTTTATACTGCTTGGGCCATATGATCCTCAAAATACTTCGCTGTACTGTTTGGAAAGTATTGCGATATTAACTCATTAACTCTTTCCCTGTGAACATGTATTAAAATATGGAAACCGTCTCAAAATAGTTATAACACAGCAAAAGAGTTGATATTTCTGCTTACTTATATTATAAGTTAGTTAGCAGGATATTAGATAACTAAGAACTAGTACTTGACTTAGTCTTTTAGTTTAGAAACATATACCATTAACATATCATGAAAATAAAACAGTATCCTTAAAGCAACTATTTCAATCATTTATAGTTCAGAACATAATGACTTTTTATTAACTTTACTAACTTGATTCAGACTGCAATTTCCGTATGTATTATATTATGTTATAAGCCATTCTGGTTTGATATTTGTAATAATTTACAAGTGGCGTTTTCAGGATATTATTGTAAATGTTAATACCATATCTAGTAGATTGACATTTGGATCAGGAAAATGAACAAAATTTACACTTTACTTTGGAAATGCTACGCATGTTGTTAATTCTATAGTTGAGTACTGTAACCTGGCTTATTTTGCATCTACTTTCTTTTGACAAAGTTTCATAAAAAAAAATTCCCAGATAGATGCAAATGTTGTTAATGATTTCAGATGATTATGAAATTGTAAACGAAATGATACATTTTATAAATAAACTTTTCAATCAACGTTGTGAGCTATCTGAAAAAGGAATAAACTAGTTTGTAAGATAATATTTTATTTGTTTAATAAGGCATTTTACTGTATAACTGTATAATTATGTCTTGTCATTGATTTTGAGAGGAAGTCAATTGTTTTGGCTTGAAACACAATAAAATCTTGAATCTACAAAAAACTGAAGTATTGACCCTCAGAATGAAAAGGTTACTAGTAGTTTACAATATACAATTGTAGACCTCTCTTGAGGTCAACTGGCAAAATTGTATACTGATACTGTAAACCTTGAAAGTTCTGTTGACTGAGACCGGAGGTCGAGGTCAACAGTACTCTCAGGGTTTACTGTTGAGGTATACACTTTGGCCAGTTGACCGAATAGAGAGGTTAACAATTGTTTTGTTAGTCCGAAGAATAAAATAGTTTGAAGGATATATTATCAAATATCACGTGAACAGATTTGATAAATGTAGGAATCATATTTTAGCAAAAAATCCACAAACTGTCAAATATTTGTAATTTTTTTTTATTTTTTCAACTTTTTTTCAAAATTAAAAAAAATCAACATTTAAATAACAATTTTTCCAAAGTAGCGGTCAACAGTACATATTGTTGACTGCTCATCAACCAATCAGAATTGAGTATTTCAATTGAGGTACTAACAATACTAGTTGGCTTGACTGGTTTAGCAAAAATAAAAATTGAAATTAGCCCAAAATCTTCCAAGTAAAATTGTTTCCAAATGTCACAAATCTGAAAATTTGCCAAATTGAATAACTTCAAAAAAACCAAAGGTTACAGTACTTGAATTATTATTAAATTGTGATTTCAACTAAAAGAATCTTGCATTTATTCTGGAAAAACATGTTCACGCTCATGTTAGATTTACTGTTATTCAACTTTTGATCAAACTCACTGTTGTAGAACTCTTCAAGCTGGTTTTTCAACTTTTGAAATCATTGAAAAAGAAAATTTGTATCACAGAGACTGTGCCATGTTGTTACAATACAATACAATACAGAAATAGATCCATTTCCCTAACTAGTTTGAAGAGTACTACCACAGTGGAACAACACATGTACAGGACATAATGTAAAAAACATGTTCAGCCTCACAAAAAGTGAACAATTTGAGATCAATTGCAAGTTTATTTAATATATTGCCATTAATAGCGTATATTTTAGTGTTTTTTTACTTCCTGTTATAGTCCTCCAATGAGCAGAGGCCCATCTGTTGATTCCGTGGATTACCCAGAACATGATGAGTACATATCACCCACAGATTCCAGGAGGTAAGATGCAAATATCTAAACATATTGACCGAAGAGGAAAATAAAAGAGAAACATTTAAGAAAAAATTATTATCAAAGATAACAACTATTTATAAGGCAACTCCATGGTCCCAACCAATGATGTGATCAAATGTAGACTAATCACTGGGGGAGGGCATTTGTACTGAAAGGAGCGTTTTCAGTACATGGTGAGCTATTGCAATCACTCACTTGTCTGTCCGTCCGTCTGTCTGTCTGTCAACAATTGGCCCGTTTTAAAAGCTCTGTCGATAGGATTCCCGTTTTGAATCATTTTTGTTCAAAATCAATATAGAAAACCCTCTTAGGACTCCTGGTTCAAAAGCTCGCCTATTTTCAAAATGGCCACCATTTTTGTCTCGCAGATTCACTTTTGGACCATTTGCTTTAAAACCTGTGTTGATAGGATTCCCATTTTAAGTTATTTTTGTTCAACATCAATACAGGAACCTGACCTGATGACTCCTGGTTCAAATTGTGAAATTCACTTTTGGCCCACTTCCTAGCTTCACAAATAATTTTAAATTTGAAAAAGCCATGTCACTGTAAAGAGTAGTTGTATGAAATAATTTTGTTTCAAAAAATCTGCAAAAAATTATATCAGTTTTTTTTTAATTTTCTGCCATCATTCACGTTTGAGCAACACCATATGAGCCCAGTGCCCACGGTACTATTTATTCAGTATAAAATTCAGTACAAATATGAACTGAAAATATACTGAATTTTTAAGGACATTTTTAAGTACAAAAATATACTGACCTTTAAGAGCAATTTTAAATATATAAATGTACTGAAAAATATACTGACTTTTAAATTCAAAGATTAATCATAAATAATATACTGAAAAATTCACGTTGTATGGGATATTCCTATAACCAAGGAAATTTGGCATTATGAGGAGATTAAAACACCTGGGTACAGCTGGTCATTTTAATACAAGGATAAAACACTATAACACTTATAAAAGGATTAAAAACAGGATGTGTATGTATGGAGAACAAAACAAATGTCTGAAGTCATCAAGCTTAATTGGTTTACTGTTTGGTCATACTTCTACTTTATCAAAATCACAGACCTTTTGATTCACTTGTCTCAGAGATATTTTGATTATGATTATTCATAATTATAGTTTTGCTCTGATCAATATATTTTTACAGTTGAAATGTCTCCAGAAGGGCTTAGACAACAATTGGATTATATCTATATCAAATGAAAACAAGAACTTCCTGATATTTCCCTGATCAAGATGTCTAGAATAATTACACACACCTTGATTGCAAATAGAAGGGAGAAAGAGCTCCCTCCCCAACCCTATAAATTGCTTGCTATGCCAGTGTATCAAGTAAATGTTCCAATACAAATGAACATTTGTTAATTCAAATGATTCTTCTGATTCTATAATAGCCCTCTTTTTCCTGCTATCAGACAACATTTTGGATCACATGCCCTTATTATCAACCAATGTTATGATCAAACGTAGACTAATAGTGCTTTAAAATAGCCCTCTTTTCCTGATATCAGACAACTTTTTGGACCACATGCCCTTATTATCAACCAATGTTATGATCAAACGTAGACTAATAGTGCTTTAAAATAGCCCTCTTTTCCTGCTATCAGACAACTTTTTGGACCACATGCCCTTATTATCAACCAATGTTATGATCAAACGTAGACTAATAGTGCTTTAAAATAGCCCTCTTTTCCTGCTATCAGACAACATTTTGGATCACATGCCCTTATTATCAACCAATGTTATGATCAAACGTAGACTAATAGTGCTTTAAAATAGCCCTCTTTTCCTGATATCAGACAACTTTTTGGACCACATGCCCTTATTATCAACCAATGTTATGATCAAACGTAGACTAATAGTGCTTTAAAATAGCCCTCTTTTCCTGCTATCAGACAACTTTTTGGACCACATGCCCTTATTATCAACCAATGTTATGATCAAACGTAGACTAATAGTGCTTTAAAATAGCCCTCTTTTCCTGCTATCAGACAACATTTTGGATCACATGCCCTTATTATCAACCAATGTTATGATCAAACGTAGACTAATAGTGCTTTAAAATAGCCCTCTTTTCCTGCTATCAGACAACATTTTGGACCACATGCCCTTATTATCAACCAATGTTATGATCAAACGTAGACTAATAGTGCTTTAAAATAGCCCTCTTTTCCTGATATCAGAAAACTTTTTGGACCACACGACCTTCATATCTGGGATCTGTCTGCAGATGTAGTTGATATTTGACCCAGATGAGATATTGCTCAAGTTATATAGATATATGAATAATGTGGGAGTTTAAATGGTGGATGCGATGACTAAATACACACATACACACAGTTCTATATACTGTTTTCAAGTATTACATTAAATGTAAGTGAACTAGACTTGCACTATCTCTCTCTACTCATTATACCCATTGTTTTATCTAAACCCTTGCCAACATTTATGCAAAATCAAAACTCCAATATTGAATAATAGATTAGATGAGTAACATTACAATAAAATGTCGTCATCCGTACATAAAATATTTGTTGAAAATATTTGCTTTTTATGGTACATGAAGAAAATACCAGAGAGATGAATCTACACATGGATGCAAGTACATATTTTCCAAGGTTATAAACTGGTTTACATACTCAATATTCATGAATTTCTAGGAATGTAATTAAGTTTGGGCAGATGCGTGTATTGTGTATTATACACAGACATATTGAAAAATGTTTTCGCATGCGTTTTCACATCACCATCTCGGGAAGAAAACACAACTGAGAACATATTCAGTGCCATGCCTAGCCAAGAAAGACTTAGAGGGACTTCTGTCACAGGATGTATCTAATTCTCTTGAAACGTTATCTTGTAGCCCCACTAGGGAGATTTCTCATGGAAAAAGTCTTGCGCACCAAGATACAATAAGTGGACACCTCAGGCCAACTGGTGAGCGTAATCGTGATGTGCCCTCCCCAGCTAAAATACGCTGGATTGATGCCTTCAATAAAGTCTGTATGCAACTTAGTGAGGTACGTAGGCTCTTTGTTCAATATGAGAGGTACTTTGTATTAAGTTGTCATTTTCCCCCGGATGATCATTTACCATTTCTACTATTTCATTCTATTATTTCAACACCTGTCACTATTGGGTAAAAGGTGAATATCTTCTGAGGATGTGTGATATTTGGTTGAGTTAAGGATGATATTATTGTGTCGTTTTATGCTATGTTTCTTGACTGAAGAGCTAGAAGACAAGAAAGAGTTAGGATTAACCCTTCAGTGCCTTGCATTGCCTGTTTGTAGAAGACTCTTTCTTTACTGTTTACATAAATCAAGATGCAGTTTGAAAACACCTGCTGAATCCCACATAGGCCACAATAGTACTATAATATTATTTATGCCGGTTGGAGCTAATAACATATTCTTGGGGCACCCCATCCAAAGTTATGCCCTTGAAATTTTATGAAATCCTTCAGCAGGTGAAACTGAATGGAACAGAAGGTATTTTCAAAATTTGAAGTATATGTTTAATTTTGAACACCGCACACATAATGATACTGGTAAAATATACAGTACTAGATGTGTCTAAGGAAGCTGATTTAAAACATTATTTTTCTGTTCCAAGATTTTCTAAAATGTACTCAAGAGTAAATTCATGTTCAGGGATGTTTTAACAATCTTCAGTTACTAGGAGTCATGACAAACCTTTTTCTATAGATTAGTGATGACATCATTCATCACCAAAAATATTTGTATGGGATGTTTTCGAAATATTTTATGTCTGTCTGAAAATATTATGGATTTTGTCTTGTGAATAATGAAATGAAATGTGATTATACTAACCTTGAATGCTCATTCAATTGAATAATGTTGCACAAAGCTAAGGATCATATTCATGATTGTTGTCAATTGTGAAAGGCTCAGAAACCATGATGACTCAGCTTTCATTGTCAAGGAAACACTAATAAAACTTTGAAAATGATCAATTAATCACAAATTTTCCCAATGTCCTAATAAATGCCATTCAAAGTTTAAGAAGAGAAATAAAATCATCGTCATAACCCTGTTGAAATGGCAAATCAATGCGAATGACAACATTTGAGGCTTTTAACATCGACTGATGAAGAACTGTATATCATACTTCAATCAACAGTTATATACACACATATACATCAAAGATTGAGACTCATTCATAGATTTTGAATTCATCAATAGAAAATTGTCTGAATATAGAGAAGACATAGAAAACTGAATTTGAAAATATTTAAAGTTTATGTAGTGAAATGTGGGCCATAGTTGCTTCAAAGCAATTATTCCACCATTGGAAAGCTTTAGCATTAGGAGAAGATGTTGAGGCAGAACATGGTACTGCCAGAGTAGCACCTACAGGATTCAATCACTATGGTCAACAAATGGTAAGTCTTAGTACTCTTCATGAAATTTTAAGGGTAAGACTCTTAGACTTTCCTTGAGGAAATCTGTAGAAAGTTTAAGGGACATTTTCTTGAATTTTTTGATTCAGTATTTTGGAAATAGTATGTTAAAGTAGAATAAAAAATGCCAAATGTATTCCATTCTCGGATAGATGTCAGAGTTGATCTGTTTGCATTATCTTCTATTATTGGACAGCTCATCTCCATTCTTGCTCAGTAATCACTTGAGTGGGATTTATAGCATTTCATTTGTCACATGCAAATATTCAATAACCATTCAGTTCATTAATGATCCTGACATAAGTAATTAATAAAGCTTATCACTATGTACATGTATGTTGGATCAAAGTATAACCCTGGACTGAAATATATCTAGCCATAGACATGCCTATTTCTAAGATTCACATTGATTGTTTTCTAAAGCCTTCTACAAATGAAGTGCTTTATGCATGTTTACTTTTTACTATTTAGTCCCATTTCTCAGTCTTAAATATAAGTACTTTAATGGTTGGCCTCAAAGGCTTTGTTGCATTAGATCTCCTTGTTGAAAAAACTGATTAATGTGTTTTCAATTAAATTACTCTGGTTTGTTAATCTGAATATAAAAAGACAATATAATAAGTAAGACCAAGAAAAAAACATTCCCTACCTTTAACTCTTTGAAATCTGGATTGAAACAAAGCTTAGATTTGGATCACTTAGGATTGAACCTTCTCTCCAGAACCAATGGTAGTAAGGTAATCAAATAAAAACAATAGAAAAGGGTTGAGCTACACGTTTTTAAAAGAACATTGTAGTGTTTACTTCCGAAAATATTGTTCAATAACACAGTGTGAATGTTGGGATACTGAAGTTATAAAGAATCATAATGCGACCCACAAACACCAACATGATCATTTTTATATAATATTTCTTTGGATTGGTGTTTCACTAGTATAGTTCTGATGTTTTGCTATGTTTTTTAATACTGTATAGCATTGTTGGAATCAGTTCTATTTGTTAATATCTTCACTTATTAGAACTGTTTTGCTATTTGTGTTGCTCTTCATATATTTTATTTGATACATGCAGAAGGTATGGTATATCTGCTCAAAGCCTCTATGGCTTTATGATATATTAACGATGAGCACATAATCCCCGAATATATGGTATTTCAGCTGTCCAATGAACATAAAGATCGTAACTTGTACAAGGTGCTGTGCGCAATGTGTGATATAAGATAAAGCAGAAAAATGTGAAAAAATGAAAAGTAATTCAATATTAAATCATTCATCACTTGAAAATCTCAAGAGAATCTTAAAGCGACCAAGCGTAAAAGGCATTTCTGGTTTCATCACAGATGAGTGTTTGATGAATGATGACAAAGCTTTTTAATTGAGAAGGTCAAAGTGGTCAGGAAATATTAGCAAAAAGGTTCTCTCAAGTTAAAATCTATATGCTTCTATTTAGTGCTGAGAATTGCAGTATAGAACATATCTGGTGTCTGTGTTTCAAAAGTCAATACCTAGCTCTCCAAGCAAATTGACTTTTTGTGTTTGTTAGTATGAGTTGGGAACCATTTATCATACTTGTCTCCTGTAATACAGAAATGCAGTATAAAATTATGACATACTAGTAAGATTATATAAATAATTTCATGCCAGTATAAAGCATGTAATCCATATTAAATGAATACCAGTAATGTTAAATTCCCTCCATATTTGAAAGTGTCCCCCTGACAAATCAAGGTAACCAATAGTGATCTTCCAACATTAAAGCAAAATTGAACTGCCTTTACTTGAGATTTTGAAAAATAGGCTTACACCTACATTTACAACCCATTTGCACCTACATATACATGTAAATGAGTTACTGACAAGAGAATTGAGGATTGAAATTAGAAATGTCCTTTAAGAAACCAGTCGTCATTGATCATAGAATGGAAGTACACCGATATTCAATTCCCTGTCCAAAGTTGAGCATATTCCAGTGAAATGCAGAATGACACAATAACCCATTCTTAACACAGATTACTGTTCATGCTCATACATTGACAGTTCTTTCTGAATTCTCCTGAAATTTCAGATTTTATGACATTTCCATACAATGTCAAATTTTTGCTACTCTCATATAGTCATAAATATCACTTTCATTTTATTTCACTAGATTTTTAAAAATATGGGCAATGTGGAATTATATCTGCAAGTTTTATAAATTGTAGTGAGAAATTGGACATGGACAGATGTCATTATGAAATGGGATTTTTGATAAATGGCCTCCAGCTTTACAATATATGGATGTCGTTATTTCATGTTCTATACATTATTTACCATAATATAAAAATTTCAAAATTGCTTGAAATTTACTTGTTGGTATAAATCAATTCTGGGCTTATTGGCTAGTATAAAACTGGTAATGATTTTACAGAGTGGTGTCCAACCAATCCCAGAGCAAATGAGAACCATGTAATATATCAATTGTACTTGTTTCATTGTTTACACACATTTGGTAAATCGTGACTGGGCACTGCACTGGCTCTGATTGACTTTGCAAGTTCAGTTTTGTTATGTCACCACCATAAAGTGGTGACATATTGTTATGGTCTCCGTTTTTTTACGGCGGATGGTGATCGGCGGTTGGTGATCGGCGATCGACGGTTGGCAATCGGCATATGTTACAAATTCTTACAACTTCCAATAACTTAACAAATACTGTTTAGACTGACTTCAATTTTTTTTTTAAATCATCTGCAAGTTTCCGGAAGCTCAAATCTGACTTTATATCTAAGATTTGACCTTTAATGACCTTTTCAAGGTCAAAAAAGGTCAAAAAGGTATTTTTTGGTTGGTTGAAATTGACCAATTTTTTTTAAAATCTACAAGTTATCAATGGTGGCCATTTTAGTGCCGATTTTACAGTAATTTAGGTGCAATATGTAAAACTGTAATAGCAATATGTTTTAAATGTAACAAAATTATATAGAACATTAATAAAGCTAGAAATGTAGATATTAAAGAAGCACATGGCAGCCATCTCGAAAAATGGTGGCTTTTACTCGTTATTTTATGATTTTTGCTGTAACTCGAAAAGTAGTGGAGCGATTTTTTTCATATTTGGAATGTGAATACAAATGTACTATAATCATGGCACACTGTCTAATGACACTTTTGGTAGTAAGTGGCCATTTTTGCTATTTACTTTGTTTGTAAAAATGCCAGCCATGGCTGTTTGATGGGATTTGCTACGCTTTGGCGTTGCTGTTGTCTAGTTATATTTTGGCCTTACATTCGGGTTAAAAAGTTTTAATCCCCAAACACAGGCAATGTTTGCTGTTATATAATGAGAATAGCCTCAATTATGCAATAATTTGCTCAACATAAGAGCAAATAACTCGTTTTTGAAAGCCAGGGTTTCATTTTTATTAACAAAATCATATTTCACTGCAAATTGTTTCAACCACATACGTCATGTCATGTGACATAAAATTTCTGCTCTGAAAATGAATCAGTTTTGCCAATTTCCTGATTTTATATCCCTGATATCATGATAAAATGAACTTCTTGGAACTGTTGATGGTTCACCATTTTGTGGCCTTCATACGGTAAGATAGCATAATTA